GATAGAGTTTCTCTTTAAAAAAAAAAAAAAAAAAAAAAAGAAAAAAAGGCAAGAACCTATGCCATGCCAGCCACATTAATTTCATTGCATTTTCTGCATCTTTACTTCTTCTGTTTTGCCATTTTGCTTTTAGAAGGCAGTTTCTCTTGAAGTATATCTAAGATGACTTGACAGTTCAGGGAGGAATAGCTCAGATTTCAGAAGCTTATATTTGATATTTATGATGTAAAATAGAGGAAATACCAAGGATAGCAACATCTAATATTCTTTTTGTCTAGGTGGTAGCTGGCTACAATCTTGATATTTGAGAAACTCAGTTTTACAAAGGCAGTTTAACTCATCCTGGTGAATGCAAGAGGTTGTGAAAACTGCTGTACGGTTTCTGCTCCCTTAGCTAGCAGCAAGTTGCTGCTTGTTCCGTGTCCCCTGCCTCCCCTCTGCTTGCTGCTCAGCAGTGCTGTTTACCCGGGGTGTGCTGTGTGGGTGGGGGCGTTGCACATGTAGGAATAGTTGGCAATAATTGTGTGCTGCTCTGAGTAGAAAGTAAAGCTGTTGTTTTATCCGAAGGTTCTTATTCTAGTTAATATTTCTCTCAAATGATGACTAACCTAAATCAATCCAGTCACTATTTAACCCCTTGACTACTTGAGTTGTGGCATTAATGTAGCAGCTCTGAATGCCACCATCTCTTTTGGACTTTTTTTTTTTTTAATTTCCTTTACATCTTAGCAGAGCTTTTGGAGTTTTGAACGGAAGCCTTTGTTGGGCAGTAACTCCCTGAAAGAGGCTTCCCTGCTTCAGACTGGGATTTCTGTCAAAAAGAGGGTGTGGATGAGAAGGCCGCCACTGCAGAGAGCAGTTTGGCAGCTGTGGCACTTGCCGTTGGTGGCACGTGGAGCCTCGTGTGTTCAGAAGGGTGCCCCAAGCACCACTCTATGCTGGGATGACTCTTTTCATGTGCAGCTGGGAAAGGGTCTTGATTTTTAAGTTGACAAGTGAAAAGCAGCTGAGTTGATAAAGGTTTTAGATTTCACAATAAGAACACCTCGTGTTTGTTTTTCTCTTTGTCTCTTCAGGAAGCTTTTTCTAGCCTTGTTTAAAAAAAGTCCACAAGACAGTTTTGTGACAGCAGTGGACAAGGGCTTCCTCAAACTCTGCATGAGGAGTTCTTTTTAACCTGAATTTCCTATTCTTTTTACCATGTTAAAGTATCTTGTATCCCAGCTTTGCAATCAAGTTACTAGGTTTAAAGATAAGTTTAAGGTAACTTTATCTGCTGCCTTGAATCATGTGGCTGAGTAGCTGCTGAGTATTGGAATGCAAGATTAGCCCAGTTACCTTGTTCCTTGCCTGCAAAGGCCATCCCAGCGTTGGGTATTTCTGCAGCCTTGCTGTTGGACTTGGCAACTGTTGTGCAGGCTGCTGAGTTTCCTTGTTAGCGTTCTTGCCATGACTGGCTTGCAGCATTCGGGTTCTGTAGAAAGGTGCAGCAAGTTGGTTTGCAAAGGAACAGCCAAGTTATAAGAATACGGTGATTTTTGGGGATACGCTGCTTTTGCTGGGCTGCCCTGATACCTGAAGGGCAGGGGGCTGTGCAGCTGGCCCTTTGCCGGTGGGGTTCAGCGCTGCTCATGGCCCGTGTGAGGGGAGCTCTGTTGCTCTGCGGATGGGGGGGTCCCAGGCCTCTCTGGAGTTGACAGGTCTACCCAGGAATGTTCTTTTTCACTGGTCCTTTAACTTGGTCGAATTAATACATTGCAGCCAAGTATCTTGCTTTCATGCAGCATGAAACAGAGGGCTGGTGCAGAGCATTTGGGTTGTTAAATTTGTCTGACGGGTGGTATCTTCCAGCCCTGAAGTTGCAGGGGGAAGGAGGAGGTGGTGTGTTTGCTGGTATAAATTCCTCACTTGCTAGTGCATGCAGTTCTGTAAAGCTTAGATATTTTTTTTGCTGTTTGCAGCTTTTACAGGTATCTAGCTCTGTGATGTATTTCAATATAATGCTCTGTGATAACAGGCTCTGCACTGTAGCAGGCATCTTGCGCTTTTATAACATGGGACTGCATGACTCCGACAGCTTCATAGGGCAGGGGGAGGGGAAATTATTCTCTGAAATCGAAATGGAAAATTTGGAGTATTCTGCGATGTAGTCTGTTAATACTGAATGTTAATTTTCCTAAGTGGAGCATGTCTGTGTGTGCCGCATGGGAGAACTGAAGGGTGGTTACCACCTGTGAAGAAAGGTGAATCTAATCTGCATGTTCCTTTAATTGGGATTGGTAATATTGAGGGCGCTTTTCTTGCTTGCATGGAGATTAAAATTGTCTTTGAAAGCTGCTATCATAGTCTTTGACTAAATGGGTTGCATAATTTTAAAAATAATCTGCAACAGTGCTTTTGTTTAACAAGCACAGCTGTATGCGGGTTACAGACTCCCGCAAGGAAAGGTGCGCGCCTGCACACACGTAATGCTGGTGTCGCAGCGGTCGGACCCGGGCCGCGCGTGCGCTACGGCAGTGCCCTGGCCTTGCCCGCTCACGGCCCCTCTGTGTGCTGGGCCCGCACGTGG